GCGATTTCGGCAATCTCTTTCCCTTGAGCATTCTTTTTAGGTCTGCAAACACGTAGTACTCGCTGTGATCCAGATCTGGAGAATACGGTGGATGGGGAAGCAATTGAAAGTGCATTTCGTGCATTTTTGCAATCGTTTAGATCAACTTATGACACGTTGCATTGTCTTGGTGAAAGAGCACTTTTTTCTTCTTCAGTTGTGGTCGTTTTTCGCAATTTCTTATTACACATAGCATAAAAGAAGTCGTATATGAAAATATATCAATTGGTAAAATAAATCTATGAATATTACTTAAAATAAGACAACAAAACACAAATATTATACAATATTAAGAATGAGATTTTTTTTTTTAATTTTTAGGTGCAGCTCTCAATATTTTCGGGTAGGTAACAATGGTTCTTGCTGCAAAAAGTCTGGCCACCAAAGGCCAAAAGTCTGCTATATAGAGTCAAGTTTCTTTTTGTTCAGTTTATTTTCATGTGGTTTGCGTAATCTATTACCCGCACTATGCGAGGTATTGCCATAATGATAAATCTATTATATGTTGAAGAGCATCACTCTTCATAGGTTTTTTTTATGGTTTTCTAAGTCAACAGAATGCATTTTAGAATGAAGAGTGAAATACTGACCAATTAAAAATGAATGCTAAAAAAAATAGTACACAAAATTTATAAATGATCTTTGTTCTTTCCTACAAGGAGTGAAGTTTCTTTTTGTTCAGTTTATTTTCATGTGGTTTCAAAGTCCTCGATTAGTGCGGTTTTAAACATTGAGAAACCTGTTACTCGCACTATGCGAGGTAATGTTAAATCTATTATATGTTAGAGATAAGTTTGTTTATTGTTTTCTAAGTCAACTGAATGTATTTTAGAATGAAGAATGAAATAGTGACTTCACATTTTTGTATTTTTTTATTATATTAATAATTTGTTCGTAATGTTAATAAATTCACACACGCAGATTAAAATGAAGATAAAATATATGAAAAATGTTAAAATGAAAAATATACATAAATATTTGCATCAATCAATGTTGAAAACTAAATTAATTTGTTTCGAAAACTTGAATAAATATTTTAAATAATGAATGTAATTATTTAATAATTTCATTACAATTTTTTTCAATGATATGAACGTGAAATATATTTGCTTGATTGATTAATTGATTGATTAAATGTAAATTACTCAAGTATACATAAACAGGAAGACGATTTGATGTCATAATTATTTTGCGTGTTCTCTTGTTTGCAAACAATTAAATCACATAAGTATATACATTCCAATAACGCGCACCCATTATTTCGCAGTTAAATATCAATTAAATTAGTTTCCTTTAAGAACTTGCATTTTAAAACACAATTTTCAGTGTTACATAAAGTTATAATTGATACATTTTTTTTAAGCGCGTCTTCTACAAAGGAATATTAATAACAGAACAAACATAAATATGTGTGTTTCGCAACCAAGATTAAGTTGTGTCGCTACCTGTGTCACGTATGCAAGGAATAATGTACAACGAGTTGGGAATTCAGAGAAAAAGTATTAATAATCGCATTTTATTCGGCATTGTGTGGGAAATTACTGATTTATCTGCGGTTGATTCGTGCATTTAGTAAGTCGACATACAAAAGTTTGCAATTACGTTCAATACAAATATTAATCTTGTATTCGCGTGAATGATGATGTTTAAAAATCATTAAAATACTGAAACATTTTAAAACAAAATAAATTAATACTTACAATTAATTTACTGTATAATTAACTATTTTCTAGTAAAGTTCCTTACTTGTAATTACTAAATTATTCAATAAATAATTAATAAAAAAACTTCTGTTTCTAATAATAAAAATAAACTACAAATAATTACTGAAACAAAATGGAAAACTTTTTCTCTTCAGAAATTAATAAAAGTTAAGACAGCAGCAAATAATAAATCTATTACTGATATTATAAATAAATTGATTTGTGATAATTAAATATAAATATAATTTGTATTTAACCATAAGAAATAATAATGCGTTGTCCTTTTATTCAAGAAGAGGATAGGTAGAGGAATCCGGAAATAATAATTATTGTTTGTTACGAATCGGGGATCCATAAAAAAAATCGTGTCCAATTATCACGAATTCCAATGCAGACGAAATCTGGCAATTTACATTTTTGCGCGAATTTCTCTTTGGGTCGACAGTTGTTTTCAGCGCATAAACAAATTAAACGCAATTATTTACTATAATTACCTTAATTACAATTATTTTTAGTTGACACATTTTTTCATTGTAAGAATATAATGTTTTTTTCGTTACGTCCCTTTTTCTGTCAACATTTGTATTGCATAAACAATTAATTTAAAAAGTCTTAAATTATTTATCACATAAATTCTGATCACAGCTATACATTTATGAATGATAGCACGTGAATAGTATATTAATAATAAATAGGTGTAATATATTAAATAACTTCGCTTATGGTTATTATATTTATAATTATATCAATTGTACAATGTTGGAAAATACTGCATTTTGTATCCATTCAATGATTTAAATGTATTGAATGACTTTAAATCTTGTGTTGAAGAACCTTTCTATTAGAAATTACTTACAATTAAGTATAGTGCACGTAAAAAAGGTTCAAAGTAGGACTAGTACGGACGATCTCCTTTTCACATCCTTCTTTTATTGGCACACATTTATCAGAACAAATTTACTTTAAATAAATTCGCATTGAAAATCAATATTATTTTTCTATAATTATTAAAAGTTAATCTATTGCATTTAAATTTAAACAAAATAAAACAAATGTATTAATTACAGAAATAGAACAGTTCTAGTCTTGAAGTTGGAAAAATGTTTTTTATTCTTTGATAACTTGTTTCTATACTTTATAATCATATAAATAGAATATATTTATGTTCCAGGTAGAAATATATACCAAAACTAGTCACTAAATTTGCAATCAAATTAAGGAAAGTGAAAGTAAACTTTGTTCGTGAATATTTAATAATCAAAGAATTGTTTTATTATTAATTAAAGTAGATGAAATTTAGTTGAAGAACGAAATATCGTTGTATAATAGAATTTATTGATCCAAAACACGTTTGCAAATAACCGCAAAATATGTTTTTATTTTTGATATACACTTCGACCACAAAATAAGAAAAAGAAAAAACTGTGTTATTAAGTATTTAATAGATTGTATTTGCATTTAGACAATATATGAGGATTTCTTTTTATAATATTTTAGATTTATCTATGCTTTGTGAACATTTTCTAAGTTGACTCAACATCCTTTGGTTATATAATAATAAAGTACACTAAAATAAAAATGTTTGAAACGTTTCAGTTCATAGATTCTTAAATGAAAGCTTCTAATTTTTCTTTATATCGTTTAGTTTGTGAATTACCAACAAATTATTCTTTCATCATTCTCCTTTCTCAGTAAATCAATTGTATCAAATATATTTTATTCCAAACCGCTTTTTTTGGACAAATATTCGCACTAAATAAAAGAAGAATTAAGAAAACAAATATTTAAATTAGATGAACGTTACTAATCACATATATATATAAATAATTATTTCATAAACTTATTATCAAGTTGCGTATATAAAAAACAATTGATTGTTTTTATAAGTTGAAAAAATTTGAAACATAATTATCAGATTTATCCGAAATAAACTAAATCCGATTATATGTTATAAAAACACATGTATCAGAATTTTATTGTTATGATAATAACGTTTGCAAATAATGATAAACGCATGCTCACGAATCGCGAAGGCTATTTAAAGTAATGCAATACGTAAACAAAAAACAAGAGCATAAAAAATCAAATGTTTAATTTGAGGTTACTAATAATAATTACAGTCAATTATGCATCCATATTTTGTTTTTTGTTGTGCAATTTTGATTCATTAATTTGCTTTAAAACAAACTGTAATTAGGTTGGATAATAAATGCTTTTTCGAAGATTTATGCAATTCATAATGAAACCATTTATATTTATTTACTTAAAAATTCACTAAAAAAGTATACTTTTTTTTTAATTCTATTTAATTCGATAATTTAATTAACTAATTATAACTTAAAATTATTTTTGATTAATTAATTATCTTATCATTAATCTATAGATTTTTAAAAAAAATACAGTTTAATTTATTTTAAAATCAAGTCGTTTTTTGATTATAAAAAATTGAAACAATAGTGCTTATTTGAATGTCTTTATGAAAAAAAAGAACAATAGCATTTTTTTAATGAGTCAATCGTGTTATCAAAAGCTGTTGAAATGAATAGAAAAAGGTATGGTTGTTATTAAAAGATAATTACACTGTTTGTTGCTTATTGGATGCATAATATTATCAAAAAAAATGGACAATTAAAAAAAAAATCACTTGTAAATTTCACATTGTTAAATTATTTTATTTAAACGTCTTTATTGGCCCGAATTTGGACTAATCGATTTTATTATTATGTTTTTTGATGCTACTTTATTTTAAAAAAATAATTTTGTTATGATTTTAGATTTCTGAGCAAATTGACACAAATAGATTCGATAAGTGATAAGAAACGAAACAGCTTACTTAGATCCAAGCAATTCCGCACTTCAGCCCTTCGATGTTCGATATATTCCAGATACAAATATACAAATAAACGATAACACGTTAATTTTGTATGCAATTTAATGAGCATCCAAAATACGCGTGCATTCCAATGATAAGATCACAAACTACTGCGTTGATTAAGCTAATTTAATCAGCAAGTTTACGCGTATTACAAATCTTATTGATTATATAAGAAACTATTTATTAAATTGTATAACAAAAAAAAACTGTAAACGGTAATTTTTAGCTTTTCTTGGACTTTTAATTTCATATGTCAACAATCAGCAATTGTATTGTTATTTGTATTTTTATTCTCTATTATTTAAGAATGTCGGGATAAAAGTTTTTTGTCGCGAATAAAGGCGATGATAAGTTGCGTCACGTGTATATAAAGCGGCGAGGACTATGTGAAATGCTTCACTAAATTTCTGCCGTTGATAGCAGCAGGATTGCTCGTACAACAACTCATCAAAAAAAACAACACCTCAACGGTGGCTTCCCAGTTGAAAGAGTTTTACTTCAGCTTCGCCCATTCATGGATTCAGCTCAGTGGACGCAAATAAATTGAATTGAAAAAAAGACAACAATAACAAAAATAAAGGAAATATTTAGAATATAAAAAAAAGTCTGGTAAGTACTTATTTTCATATTTAAAGTAGAAACTTTAGAAGGATTGCATTTTAAATGCAATATTTAATTTATTGTGTTATTAAAACTTGTTCAATTTACACATCAAAATAAATTTAGCAAGCTTCTTAATAATTTAATCAAAAGAAAATTATCATATTGTTATTTCAATTTTCTTTAATCCAAATGCTTTTAACAGCCACATAAATTTAGGATTATTAATTCTGGAACCAAGGTTTGGTTTTTCTGAATGTAAAAATTACATAATATAAAACTACTACAGGTCGATAGCCTCTAGCTAAAAGTTTCTTATCAGTTTGTATATACAAATTTTGTTAACATTTCCAAATAAGAGCAATAAGATTAAATCGCTTCTATATTTTTGAAGAACTCACATGAGAACATTGTATATAGTTGATAATCATTTAAAAAAAAAAATGAATCGAAAGATTACAGGTTGTTATTGCATTGGAAAAGGAAATATTGAAACTACGTGCATTATATTGGGAAGTAAAAATTTCCTATTTAACGACAAACGTTTCCATTGAATCGAAATCAATCATTTTTGATTCAGTTTTATGCGAGTCCTTCGAATTAATTGCAAACCGGGAAATGGCGATAAGGAGAAATTGAACTCTACAGATTCATTGCCAATATCCAAAACTCTTTAAGGTCAAAACTGATGCGGGAAACTCTCTTAAGTGAAATAAAGATTTTATTATGTGAAATATAATAATATTTTTTATATTTGAGAATCAAATGCACTTATATTATTAGATGAATTCTTCCAAAGTCCGAGGTTGTATCTGAACGAACCGTGAGGGAAAAAAATGTTTAAATTCTTTCGATATCAGTGCGATAACATGAAATCCGTTATCACGAATGTATTAATAAAAACATATTGTATAATTCATTCATAAAAAAATAAAACAAAAACTGTAATCTTCGTTACACAACATTTAATCTCCAGTACAGCTGAGTTTGTGCTGTGATGTAGATGAAATCAAATAAATAAAAATAGAAAAAAAATACAGTTGAATTATTCATAAGTGATCGGGTTCCGGAAGTGGAAGAACAAAAAGAAACGAGTGCCGATCAAATTTGTTGAATTCAAGTACAAAGTAAATAATAATTTATAAGTGCGTTAGATGTGTGACCTTAAACAATTAACTAGCTGGAAATAGAATTAAAAAAAAGAGAACACATATATACATATTTAATTTTGCTAGAATTTCGTATGCAACTGAGACCAATAAATACCAATGACGATCAATGTCACGGTTAAAATGTTAAAAATATTTATTTATGTATCACCGCGAGGTGCGATTTATATTAATGTTTTGTATTTTATCTGTCTGATTTGCAGCATCGCGTTGCAATGGTCGAGATGGATGTCAGGACAGGTGGATTTAAGGAGGGAAAAAAGGTTCCTCAGTATGTCGCTGCACTCTCAGGTAAAATTGTTATGCAAAAACCGGATTTCGGAAGTTCAATAACCACATGATTTCAGCGTGCCTCGGTGCTGTTGCGGCCGGCGCAGTTATGGGATGGTTATCAAATATATCGGAGGGATTGGAAGATGGTGATTACAATAACATTATAATTGATGATACCGGGAAAAGTTGGATCGGATCCCTCATGAATATTGGTGCAATGATCATGTGCTTTCCCATCGGCTTCATCTGCGATAAAATCGGAAGGAAAATTGCGATGCTTCTCCTGATCATTCCATTCATGCTCGGCTGGTTGATCATCATCTTCGCAACAAATATAGAGATGCTGTACGCCGGCCGCTTTATCACTGGCCTGATTTGCGGAGCGTTCTGCATTTCAGTTCCGTTGTACACCAGCGAAATCGCGCAAAAGGAGGTCAGAGGAGCTCTGGGCAGTTACTTTCAGCTCCTCCTAACAGTTGGAATATTGTTCGCTTATGTGATGGGCTATGCTGTCAACCCAAAGACGCACACCTTAATATGTGCATGTTTGCCCTTGTTGTTCGGTATCATTTTCTTCTTCCAACCTGAATCACCTGTTTATTGCATCAAAAAGGGCAAACTGGATGAAGCTAGAAAATCGTTGATAAGACTGAGAGGCAAAGATTATGATGTCGAAGCCGAAATTAAGGAGATCACTTTTATGCTCGAAGAAAATAACGGCACTACGATACCATTCAAGGAATCGATCAAGAAGACGGCGACAAAGAAGGCCGCTATTATAGCTTTCGGTATGATGTTTTTCCAGCAGTTGAGCGGTGTGAACGCTGTTATCGTCTACACTGGAGATATCTTTTCCGCCGCAAATAGTTCACTCACTTCCAAAGAAGCTACGATGATCGTTGGAACAATGCAGGTTCTTGCAACATTCGTCTCTTCGCTGGTCATAGACAAACTAGGCAGGAAAATTCTTATGATCGGCTCCGATATTTTCATGGCCATTTCTGCTATCATGTTAGGTGTTTACTTCACTATACAAGATACAACGGAAGGCATTGGCTTCTTGCCGATCTTCGCTATGTGCCTATACATCGTCGTCTTCTCGCTGGGTTACGGTCCGATACCTTGGATCATTTCCTCCGAGGTGTTTCCTGCAGAAATCAAGACTGTGGCCAGTTCGGCTGCCGGTACCTTCAACTGGTTCCTAGCCTTCATCGTAACCAAATTCTACTTTGATCTAAAAGTTGCTATTGGTAACGACGGTACGTTCTACATGTTCGCAGGAATTTCAGTAATAGGTACTCTATTCATCATTTTCTTCGTACCTGAAACCAAAGGCAAGTCCTTCGATGAAATTCAAAGGATATTGAGCGGCGAAAAAGTTCATCAATCCGAGGGCATCGAAAACAAAGGATACTCTACCTAAATTATTTATTATTTATTTCTTTCTTATTATTATATTAATAATATTTTATATTAAGTTGTATATATGTTAAGATTATCTAATGCCTTTATGATGTGATATTAAACATTTTGCTATCTTTAATATTTCATTTTCAATATTCAAATCATTTCCTCACTAAACAAGATAGGAAAACTTTTATCGCAAGAACAATATAAATATATTCTCAAAAAGGAAATTTGTTAAAAAGAATATTACCAAAAGATATAAATATAGGAAAATAGACATAATTGCATAATTATTTTCGTATTTAATTTATTTATTATCGTAGTCTTTCCGCCTAATTTCATAATATTATGAGAATTGTTAAAATTTAATTGATTTAAATTCAATTAAATAAAACGAATGTATATATTACAAAAGCAATAATTTTAAATTTTAGACGCAGTACGTAATATTGTGATAAACTATATATACAACCCAATGTACAAAGAGATAATTATAAAAATCTTGAAGACTATTTGTTTGCATCATCAAAGCATGTAAACAAAGTATCGCATACAAAATAGAGTCCGTTTCTTGTGAAAACTATTATAAATTAAAGTCTTAAGATCAAATGTCACTGATCAAATTACGATAATACACAAGCGATATTGCACGAGAAATCGCAGTCAATAATAGAACCGTGAGCATATTGCAACTAGATTTATTTCCAAAGTTTTCATTTCTGATTAGTTAGTTTCCTGGATGCTTTGAAAACATGGATCGTGACAATGACTTTTTAATCGCAAATAGCTCGAATGTGGACAACGAAGTGAGAAACTATGAGAGCTTGGTAAATATTATTTATAATAGGTTAATTATTTGATTTAATTGTGTTCTTAATAATTGCAGAGCAATGGTAGACAAAATGAAGGTCAGAAGTCAAAGACTTCTCCACAATATTTAGCTGCAATTGCTGGTAATTTGATGTCATTCATTTCAATGTTGGATTTTTATGTTATCAGTTATTTATTTTAGCAACCTTGAGCGCTTTTGCTGCTGGCATTGTGATTGGGTGGACAGCACCAATAGAAAATGCAATGGAAGATGGAAATTACAACAATATCACTATTGATAAGAATCAAATGGGATGGATTGGATCATTTACAAACCTGGGAGCATTAGTCACTTGCATTCCAACAGGTTTCATCTGTGATATAATTGGCAGGAAAACAACACTGCTGCTACTCATCATACCATTTTCAATTGGATGGTCTTTAATATTGACAGCAAGGAATGTACTGATGCTGTACTTTGGAAGATTCATCATTGGTATGGCTGTTGGAGCTACCTGTGTTGCTGCCCCAATGTACACCAGTGAAATTGCACAGAAGGAAATTCGAGGTGCCCTGGGCAGTTACTTTCAATTGATGGTCACTGTTGGAGTGCTGTACTCTTATACTTTTGGTGCATTTCTAACACCCATGAACTACACAATTATTTGCAGTCTGGTGCCATTGATATTCATTACATTGTTTGGCTTTCAGCCAGAAACACCCCTTTATTATTTGAAAGTAAACAAGTTTGAAAAGGCTAAGTTGGCATTGGTCCAGCTGAGGGGTACTCAGGATGTTGACAGGGAACTCAATGAAATTGAAACTACTTTGAAGGAATCGAGAACATCGGTTGGATTTTTCAGGGCGATGTCAAAGAAATCTAGTAGAAAAGCGATTTTCATTTCATTCGCATTGATGTTTTTCCAACAGTTCAGTGGCATCAACGCAATTATTTTCTATACTGGCTACATATTTAAATCTTCTGGCGTTTCTTTCAACGAGAATTACGCCAGTATTGTAATTGGAGCCACGCAAGTAATTGCTACTTTCAGTTCATCATTGATAGTCGATAAATTAGGACGAAAGATACTTCTGATTACTTCCTCTCTGTTTATGAGTTTATCGATTATTTCGCTGGGAGTGTATGTGTATTTGAAGAGTCACCAGTTCATAGCTGAATATGTACTAGCATATCTTAACTTTTTGCCCATCCTTTGTCTAGTACTCTTTATAATCGCCTTTTCTATAGGGTTCGGACCTATACCTTGGATGATATCTGGCGAAATTTTCTCTCCTGACATCAAGAGCATGGCAAGCTCAATGGCTGGTTCTTTCAATTGGCTATTGGCTTTCTTCATTACCAAATATTATTTCACTATCAGTGACACTATTGGTGAAGAATACACGTACATCTTCTTTGGCGTTGTTACTCTATTAGCTATTCCATTCACATACTTCATTGTACCAGAAACCAAAGACAAAACTATCAGTGATATACAAGATGAACTAGAAAACTAATTCAATTGTATAGTACTTAAATAAATTTGTCATATATTTTTTAATATACGTAAATTGTAAATACATAGTACAATTAACATGTAAAAGAGGCATGGAAGAGGACGATTTGAATTTGTATTAAAAGAAAATGCATAATATCACAATATATTTACAACTAATATAACAAATAAAACAAAACAATTATACTTATGTACATAAACATTATTAACAATAATAATACAAATCATCTTAATTTGGTATTTGCTTACACTTATATCCATTAAATTTCGTGAAATATTATATCACAAAACGTTTACAAAAAAAGAAACATTATAATAATCGTATTTATAATTAGTCTACAAAAATAATAATACAAATCTTCTGAATTTGGTATTACAAATCTTGGATAAAAAAATATAATTGGCGTTAAAGTATTTAATATAAATATAGAATTATTTTCAAACTTAACCTTTTGCACTTTGAATTCCATCAAATCTTATCAATTCAGCGAAGAGCAAAAGGCTAAAATTTCTTTAAACCACTCGGCTTCACGCGATCCTCGATTCGCTCAATGACGAATATGACTTCTGCATTTGTTTACAGCAGCACAAGTCCTTCATGAATCTTCCAAGGCTGCTATCGGAATTAGATCTGTATAATCCGCTGGACACCTCTTCGATATTAGTCTTTCCAATGAAGCTGTGCAAGTCGCTTTTAGGAAAGCCCTCCGTATAATATAGCTTAATAGTTTCATAAGCATCGTTAATAACAGTAATGAAGAGGTTTAAAATTACGTAAATGTATAGACTTATGAATGAATACAGGTAAATGCGACTGAACCACCAGAGCATCGTGGACTTGTTGGACATGATTGAAAATGTGGCAAACATATCATCACCGTTGACCAAAGAGAACAGACATTCCGAAGTGGTTGAGAGAGACTTGAATTTTAAATGGTATGGTCCCAAAATGAGCCAACCGCAGAACGTGAATCCACCGTATATCAACAGAGCGCATAACAGGAATCTGAAGATCTGCGGCGTCGCCTTCTTAAGTGTCAAAATAACTACGTTGTATGTCTTAAAAAATCCGAGGTACCTTAAAACTCCAAACCATACAAGCATGTTACCAGTACCCAAAAAGATGCTGCAAACGTTCCATTGGTCACTTGTGTATTCTGAACTCTCAATCCTCTCCTTAATAGACGATCCAATCATAATGAATATATCATTAACCAGAATCATAATGTACCACATATTCAAAAATTCCATTTTATCATCTCTATTCAAAGGCTTCTCAAAATGAGTGATAAAAAAATTGTTTGCAATAACTTTCAATTGTTGTGCTCTGACAATGGCCCTGGTGCATAAAATGAATGACATTATACATATCACAATGACAAAGTAATTCAATAAGCTTCTGAGAAGGGCATCAATCCTGTTGTCTGTTATGTATTCTACATTTCCATTGCATGTTAATCTATTTGGTTCAGCATCCAAGTCCAGCATCATCTGACCATCATGATCTTCATTTATAAAATTAATGATTATATCAAATTTATAGCAATTTGGGGGCGTCAATCTGCCAGCAGATTTAAAACTGATGGTTTTCAATGAAAAAGTCAAACTTGCCTTAACCAAGGCAGCAAAGTTAATCTCAAGATCATAATATTCTAGTAAATAGTCCTGAGAACTGAAGCTATCTGTCTCATTTGTTGATATGTTGTAGCAAGTTTCTATTATCTCAGGATTGAATATGTATGATTCATTAAACCCATATATAATACCTTCTTTGTACTGATATAGACACAGTTTCATTGGCCCCATTGTGTTGTTGGAATTCGTATAAGAGTATGGACCAATTGCTCCACTAATATTAGCATATCCACTAAATGCATAATCAATAGTTTCAAAGAATCCATCTTTAGTGTAAACTGCTAAAGGTCCAGCTGGAGGTGGATATGAGTTCACTTCCATTGAAGCATCCCAACCATTGAGAAACAAATGTGAAAATGTAATTCGATTATCCCAAGTGTAATTGACATGGTTGTATCTGCTGAATGCGAACAAACACAATTGCATGGTGACTAGAATAATTTTTATAATTTGTACTATAAATTTGTATGGAAATCTGCGTTTCGCCTGCCACTTCTCAATTGGATTCATGAAGAAGAACTGCAGCTTTCTCCTCATTCGATCCTCTGTCCACATTGTGATATGATTCTGCTTGCACGATCTGTGATGTGTTATTGCACTGGTTTCGTCGTCTTCACTGCTTACTGGATCGATAACACTTGCACTGCTATCAACCATATTTACATTCAACTTAAAATATTATAAAAACTGAATTATACTGTTCAGTAAAAGTCTTCTACAGTAATGACATTTTTAAGTGAGGTTAACTGAAGGACAATGGTAATATTTTCTTGACGCTGATTGGTCACATGATCATGTGACACTACAGGACCGGACTTTGTATTTAAATATACGCATTACTAAAGTCCATTGATTAAATAAAATGTATTTATTTTAGAATGAACTACACATTTAGTAAATTCAAAATACAAAGAAAAATATTATAAGTAATATTTGTATTGATTTTATTTTTGTACCAAGTGGATTTAAATTGGGTTAAAAATATAAAGACGGTACTGCCCATGGCTTTTAATTTTTTCACAATATTTTGACGTAACATACGTCAAACTTTCAGTAACCTCTCATTCTTAGTATGTGGAATTCATTCCAAAACTCATATGATAAAGATATTTAAATAGAGGGGAAAAGATGCCAAACATTGAAATCAAACAACTTTACAATCATGAAAGGTAAATACCATTACTGTTTAAAGTCCAACAAATGGATACATGAATTTCACTTTTTTAGGGTTCCTGCTGATAAAACATTAGCTCTTTTATTGTATCTCCCATTTGGAATTATCCTCTTTTTATTTAGGTTAATAGTATTCCTACCTGTGTTTTTATTTTGTTCTATTCTACCAAATACAAACTTAGTACAGGGATTGTTATTGAAGCTTGTATGCTTCTGCCTTGGAATTGCCATAAACATTGAAAACAATGAAAAAAAAGAAGATGTTGATGCATACATCAGTAACAACATCTCTATTTTGGACCATATTGTTATGAAGATACTTACAGGAAGCACTAAGGTTGTATCATCAAATTATACAAATTTTATCTTAATTTGTTTTTTTTTTTATTGCAGCCAAGCTCTGAAATTGATACTCGATTGTCACTGTTATGTGGGGAGAAATATTTTGGAACGATTGCAAACCTTGATGCATTCAAAAAAAACCTCTCTGTGTTCATGAGCAGCAAGAAAGTACCTATCTATTTCCAACCTGAAGGCGTCATGACAAATGGCAAGGCTGTATTAAAATTTAACACTTGGCCATTTTCAATGTGCAGCAAATTCCAGCCAGTTGTTATTAACATTGATAGGCCTATTCTTAATATAGCAGCGAATACAATGGATGCTCATTATTGGACAGACGTGTTCTTCTACATGTTCTCCCCTTTAACCGTCTACAATGTCCAATATTTACCTTCAATTGAGAAGAAGGCCTTCTCCGACGAAGATTTGGCGAATATTAGTCAACAGGCGATTGCACATGCTTTGAAGGTGATGCGTCTACATTCCGTTAATGATTATAATAATTATGTTATTTTCAGATTGAAGCTGTTGATCACAAGTCGGCTGATATGAAGGAATGGTTAAAGAGGCACTTATTGGAACTTAAAAGAACTGCAGTTGTCCAAAACAACCGCTCTGCTAATTATGCAGTTAGTCCTGAGATGACCAGGATGGGTCTACAAGTAAAGGAAGTCTTGCCGCTAGTTCCAATGGAGGATATTATAAAAGATTTAAGTACTTGGCTTCGAACGAAACGTAATTTACGTATACTAATCATTATAATTTTAGTAAAAACCCGTAACGTCGATGTAACAATAACCAATATATTAGATGGGGCCGTGGATTATATACCGGAATCGGTGAATGCTGTTCCAGTTGCGAGTACTTCTTCTCCAATAATTAGTACTTCTTCATCGTTTGGTCCATCGAGTAGCAACGGTAGCAAAGATCCCTTCAATACCGCAGCAGAATCATTCGGAAAATCTGCGAGCGAACGCAGTTTATCTTTCCAAGAACGAAAACGACTTCTGATTGAGAATGCTCGTAGACGATACATCGAGAAGCACGGACTCAACTTAGTAGCTTTAAATAATTGTTGATAGTTTTCCTGCGATTCTGATTTTCCTCTCAATTTCATTTAATTTCAATAGGATTAGTGCCAAAACAATATTTAAGCACATTATTCACTTCATAAGGTTCCAATCTGTTTACTGCACGGCAATGTTTAAAGCAGGCCGCCTCAAACACTTGCTTTAAATCATAATTTTATCTCTTAGTTTCTCCTTATAAGAATGTATTTGATTTTTTAAAAATTTTAATCTACTAAAAGTACGCTGGATTAATCTGCGATTGGCTAGTGATATTTTTCCCAATTTTCAAATACAATTTAAGTTTTTTTTTGTTTTGTTTTCAACTATATGCAACTGACAATACAGTTACACTTGGAAAATATATTTACTTATTAAATAGTTATATTTTTTTCGCATATCATCTGCTTGGTTTTCATTCTATGCATTGCTTATTCATGAAGTATTTTAATGATAAATATATGGATGAACTTTCGATTTAAATTCAATTGAACGCAAAACATGAATACGACTGATTATTAATTTAGGTCAAATACTGTTTAATACCTTATTAAAATAAACAATTGCTTCATTATAAACACAGTGACCTAACGTTTAGTATAATCCAGATGTTCATCATAATCTTTGTTAAACTATCTTGTTAAATCACAAATTTAATCCAATGATTTATAGCAATGTATTAATAAAAACTTTAATTCTTCTAAAATTAAGCTTTCCATGTTTTAAGTTTAATATTGAAAGTTAACTTTACTTCTCATTTAAACTAAAGATGCGTTTTGTTTTTATTATTTTCGTGTTGCAAAAACTATTACATTAATTGGAAATATTCGAAAAATGTATTTTTTTACAGTTACTATATTGAAACTATTATTGTTATTGTATTATTTCCAAATTGGATTAACATGGCAACATTGCAATTCTGCACATTTTTGTAGCAACGCGCTCTGTCGAGAAAAGTTGTCGAAACTGTTATTTTACTATTATTATCATTAACCTGCAATAGAAATGGCGCGATGTTGAACGCTTGTAATAAATAGATTGTAAACAACAATAAAAATATGTTGATTATTTTCAATTAGTGCTATACCATATACAAAACACTCGAGATGTCGAAGCAAAAGGTGTCTGCGGAATGGAAAAAGCGCGTAAAGCAAGAATATATGCGACTGAGGCAAATCAAAAGGTACAAAAGGGCTGACGAGGTGAAGATTCAATGGAACCTGAACCAGAATCGAGTGTGCCAAGTTCTGATTACAGAGCAGAAACGATGGACGGAAAGCAAATCGTTTTGGGTGAATACCCCAGAATTTCCATCACATGTAACATGTATGAAAAAGGCTGAAGTAATTGGCAATGAAGGTAAGTCATAATACCATCACTGTTTCATAGATTTAATCAATCTTTTGTTTCCTCTTAGGAGACATACAAGTTATTCCAATTAAAATTATAAATTCTGTAACACCAATTCCTACCATGTATACCTGGGCTCCAATCCAACAAAACTTCATGGTTGAGGATGAGACTGTCCTTCACAACATTCCATATATGGGAGATGAAATTTTGGATCAAGATGGCACTTTTATCGAGGAACTGATTAAAAATTATGATGGAAAAGTACATGGTGATAGGGAATCTGGATTCATTGATGATCAACTATTTGTTGAATTAGTGCATGCACTGATGCAATACCAAGATAAAAAGGACCAACCTGAAAAGAAGGAGAAAAAGGTAGAAGCAGAGAAACCAAAAGAAGAGACTGAAACAAAAGAAGATGGTGAAAAGGCTGTTGAGGCCAAGGAGACTTCTGAGGAAGTTAAGATGGAGGTTAAAAAGGAGGAATTGGAGTTTCCTAGTAACATGATATTTCAAGCAATATCATCACAGTTTCCTGACAAAGGGCAACCAGAAGAATTGAGGGAAAAGTAATTGTTGCAGTAAAAGTCTTTCAATGATTACAATTTTGTTTCCCTTGTAGATATATAGAATTAACTGAGAGAATGGATCCAAATGCACTGCCACCAGAATGCACCCCAAACATTGATGGGCCCACAGCTGAATCTGTACCTAGAGAACAAACATTACATTCATTTCACACTTTATTTTGCAGAAGGTGTTTTAAATATGATTGCTTTTTACATAGTAAGTTTTTTCGCTTTTATTTCATTTTCTAAATATTTTAAATAAACATAATTGAGATTCTTGAAGGCAATTTTTACAATCCTGAGTCATGGGTTGTTTGCTTGTTTTGCTGCTTTTTAGGAAACCAAGGTAAATTCATTCACAAACAAAAAAGCAAACATAAGACCATTCAATCATTTCAAATACTTTATGCTAATAGTTATGTTAACTCATTATTCAATTTTTGTTATTCATTAATGTCATCATTAAGTTATTTAAATTATGTACATTGTAATTTACAATGAAGTTACTTCTTAATATATCTCAACTTTAGGACTTCAAGCTTGTCATCCAGGTCCAAATCTGCAGAAACGTCGAGGTCCAGATTTGAAACCGTTCACGGAGCCGTGCGGCCCTGATTGCTACATGCTGTTGGTAAGTTATTGTATCCGCAGACTGTTCAAAACTATAAGTTCTTAATTCTATTTATAAGGATGGTGTCAAGGAAAAGTTGGCCGCAAAAGCGAAGCAAGACGAGCAAGATGAAAACGATAAAGGTAAAGATAAGAATTCAAAAGACAATACGTCTCAAAATAGTCGCGCGAATCAAAATCCTAGGAAGGTTTGTAAAGAACAATCCGTAGATTCTGGAAACGAGGCAAGTTCCGAAGACAGCAATGATTCAAATAAATTCAATAAAGGTAAACTGATAATGCCCAAAGGGACTCCGTTTATATTAAATGATTCTTTCCAGATGATGGGAATACCGATGTTTCGACAACCACGGCGTTCAGTTTGCTGGGCTTGATGGGAAAGGATGATCATTGCGAATGGACCGGTTCTGATCAAAGTTTGTTCCGTGCTTTGATCAAAGTGTTTCTAAACAATTTTTGTGCCATTGCGCAAATCATGCTTACAAAAACATGCCAGCAGGTATAATATTGAATATTTCTATTTTTAATGTGCAAATTTCTTATTCCCCATATTATTTTACTAGGTGTATCAATTTGCCCAGAAGGAAGCGGCTGATATTCCCACCGAAGACTCGTTCAAAGACTACACTCCGCCCAGAAAGAAGAAGAAGAAGCATCGTCTTTGGTCGGTGCATTGCCGCAAAATTCAATTGAAAAAGGATTCGAGCAGCAATCACGTTTATAATTTTACTCCGTGCGATCATCCCGGACAAAGCTGCGATGCTCATTGTCCATGCATTGGTGCTCAAAACTTCTGCGAGAAGTTTTGCCAATGTAGTTCAGACTGTAAGTAACTCATCTTCCAATTTTACTCTAGTTAATAATCATCTGTTTGATAGGTCAAAATCGGTTCCCGGGATGCAGATGCAAAGCGCAATGCAACACCAAGCAATGTCCTTGTTACTTGGCTGTTCGAGAATGTGATCCGGACTTATGTCAAACTTGTGGAGCGGATCAGTTTGATCTCAGCAAGATTACTTGCAAAAATGTTAGCGTGCAGCGTGCTCAACGTAAGTCTCTTTAACGAAGGAAGACATTGAACGTAAAAAAAATAAATTTCTTTTCTTGTAGATAAACATTTATTGATGGCACCATCTGACGTAGCAGGCTGGGGAATCTTTCTGAAGGATAGTGCCCAGAAAAATGAGTTTATTTCTGAATATTGCGGAGAGATTATTTCGCAGGATGAGGCCGACCGCAGAGGGAAAGTTTATGACAAGTACATGTGCAGTTTTCTATTTAACCTTAATAACGGTGAGTTTATAATAATAATTTAAATTACAAATGATTAAACAACATTTTAAATTTAGCAATTCTGATATGAATTCATAAAAAGGCTTAAATTAACTTTATTTTATATTGAAAAATTGTTATAAATTATTGTCTTTACAGATTTCGTGGTCGATGCAACAAGAAAAGGAAATAAAATCCGATTTGCTAATCATTCGATCAATCCAAATTGCTACGCCAAGGTGATGATGGTGAATGGGGATCATAGGATTGGGATTTTCGCGAAGCGAGCAATCCAGCCTGGTGAAGAACTGTTCTTTGACTACAGATATGGCCCTACGGAGCAGCTCAAATTTGTAGGCATAGAGCGAGAGATGGAATTCCTTTGAAGAATTATACTAAGTTTCACATAACGCGTTTATATATCCCCGCGAATAATTGATTAAATAAAATATTTTTTATTCTTTATATACAGTATATACATTTATCAAAAAAAAATCAGGAGATCACAGGCAGTTGAGATTTGTAATCGTGTAAAGTGGAGCGCCTATTTTCCGTCTCTATTGGGAATGCTTTTCAAATCTCTAGTCAACGAAACCGTGTCATCCGCTTTGGCAATATCCATTGCTTCTAAATCGATGTTTTGCCCTGAATTCGATCTATTTTTGCCGTTGTCGTCGCACTGTTCATCGCCAACATCCCTCTTGTTCCTATCGTAATCTTTAGACAGAATGTCCCTTCTCATATCTTTCTCTTCTTTGTTCTCCACGACTGTTTCTTTAATTACTTCCTTTTTAACTGTTTCTTCAACTTTAACATCAGTCTTTTCTATATTTGCGATTTTTTCCTCGGCGTCATTGACGATTTCGCTTGGGTTTTGTTTGGTTTCGGTTTTAATCTTTGGTACGTCCAAAACTTGTAATATGCTCACAGGCTTATTCTCAACAACTGTAGGTTTAACATTCTTGCTCAACGCGATCGGAAGTGGACCCAAGTTCTTCAACTTTTGCGAATCCTGCTCTGATATTTGCTTGCCAATGTTATAAGATTCCGGATTTTTCGCAATCATTTGCTGAATAGGTTTATCTTCAGCTTGAACCTCGACAATCTTTTCAATAGCTAATTTCGCTATGGTCTCGATTGCTTTAACTTTGTCTTCTTCATTTTTATGAAGCAATTCTGTAATTATTTTATCCTTTTCTTCGACTTTCTTTTTCTCTTCTTCGTACATTTTCTCTAACTTGGGTGACTTGTCTTCCTTCTTTGAATCCAATAGTTCTTTTTCTTCCTTCTTAATTGCTTCTATGTCCAGTTTAATCTCTTCAGGCGCCTTAGTCTCAACTTCTTTTTTGACGACTGCTTTTTCTGTAACGTTGACTTTTTGAACTTCGGGTAGCAAATCTATTGTCTCCACTTTCTCCTTAATTTGTGGTGGTGAATCATCTTGAGGTTCTTCAGGTTGCGGCGGCTCATGACGTATTTCTTTACGTTCTTCAAGAATCTTCTCTTCGATTTTTTCTATTTCCTTTTCAAGTTTATTCATCTCGATAGCCTTCCGTGTAGTAATGATTATATCCTCTCTAATAGGATTTTCAATTTCTTTCATTACTAATGCCTTCTCAACATGAACTTCTTCAATTGCGTACAGATTAGCATATGTTCCAAGAACCATAACCACTATGCCAATACAGAGCATGGCTTGAGCCAACAACCTTTCATTGGTATTTTTAACTGTGATGCATATGAAACAGCACGCCGGGAAGATAACGCATACAATTACACCAATCGTGGAACCTACTAAACCAAGAACCAATTCGATGTTTGGAATCATAATACCAATTGTTAAAGAGATCAGTATAATCAATACTGTTAATAATCTAAATTTATTCTCCGGTATATATGTTATTGGCGTATCGTGCATTGACGAGTACATCTGCAATTTGAATTGTTAAGTAACAGTCTAATAAATAATATTTACAAACTTACTGGCTTGTATAGCAATGAAAATAAACTAGCCCTGCAAGGGAAAATTACCAGTGGGAAACTGAATGCCACAGATAAGACAAAACCCATTTTCATCAATTCCGTGATTATGGACGGTTCGAAGTTTAGCAATATATTCCCACTGAAGGTAGGCTCATGGGATAAAGCAATGTATCCAAAAACTCCAACAAATATATAAACAATAGTGCAAATGTTCACTGCTAATCTTACAACTCCATTCATCTTCTCCTGAGAAGCATTTGGAATTGCCTGATAAATCTCAAACAATTGCCTGAAAATAGTATATTAGTGTCAAATATATTTTTCTGATTTTGTAATGAAATTACGTTTGACAAAATAGAGCCATTGAAAATATTGGAATGCATTGTAAAATGCCAGCTGGCCTCCAGTAAACCACTTTATCATACCAATCTCCTTGTAATATATGAGGTGCTGATTCCCACATCACCTTGAAATTAAATGTGTTAATATATACAAATTTCTAAATGCATGTAAGTTCTTACTTTTAGAACTAAGCAGGCATAAAAGCCAACAGTAGCTGTGCTTACTGTGCTCAAACTGCTAACATTCCTTAATAATCCTAAAGGTAATACACAAAATGCAGCCAGTACAAAAAGAATACTAGTTCTCAAAGTGTTTGAGGATGGTGTATTGGTCATATGAGCAATAATTTGTGGTCCCAAATCACCCATGACTACAAAAAAGGCAATGCATGTCCCTAGAAGGAAACCAATCAACCCAATCTCCACAAACAGTTTTCCAAAAGTGCCAAACACATGGAATGCCAAATTTTCAAATGTCCTCAGTCTTGCCTTAATTGCAGATTTAAGTAGGAAATGGCATGCCAATCTTGATATAATACTGCTAACAATCAATAAAAGTATTGATAAGATGATGCCACACTGCAAGGATATAATTTAATTATCAATTTTTTGATGTAATATCAATTGATCTATACCTGTTTGAAACAGTATGGCATTGCAAGTATGCTAACACCAATTATACTGTTTGCTAGGGTCATCACATGTATTGCTTGTTTGGAATCCATTGCGAACACACTATAAACTAGTACTCAACACAAGCTACATTAATATTTTCATTCAAAAATGCACGGCTTTCTATTTTCAAGTAAACGTCAAATGTGGCACAATTTGTTGATGATTTATGGGAATTTATTTGTTGTACAGTTGGCCAACACTCTGCAACTTATGCAAAACTAATAACTTGATTGTTTGAATATTGCCTATACTAAATTGAAATTAGCAAACAGTTTTCAATTTTAATTATTTGAAATTTTGTTTTTTTTTTTACATATATTAGAACAGGCCAAATGACCTATAGTCAATAGCCCGTTGAAATAATGCATGTAATTTTAATTAATGACTTTTGTAATTTTGTTGTTGTTATTATTAAATTAAAGTCTAAGTTATTTAGAGATCGTAGCTTTGCAAGAAACAAATAATTAATTAATTAGAAATTTATTAATATTTAAATACGAATTAAACAAATAAAAAATGAAAAATATATGTATGTTAATGTCTAGAATCGGAATTTGGATTGCGTAAGGTGTTTTGTTTTGCCGTGGCAAAGTTATTTGTTTTGCGTTTTCCATATCAGTTCTGTATTATTTTATTAAAGTTCTGGCAGGGTTCACGCTCATCTCGGTTCGTGCCAAAAATCTCAGACGATTCCATTCAGGTTTTCACCTGTTGTTTCATTTCTTGGAATTGTTGCTATTACTGGACGAGCTTTTACTGCCGAAGTTTCCATAAGCTCCGAAGCGCTTGTCCTCTCTTACCGTGCGTTTGGGTGCAATTGGAGGCGCTTTACCGTTCAGGGCGATGGTGTATTGCGATTGAGGGACCTGGATATTGATTCTATGCTTTGTGGAAGAGTCGCTCTCCGTGCTTACAGATGATTGCAATTTGATTGTTTGGAATGGAAGGGCGTTCTTGATGCCAAAATGATCAAAGTTTATTGTTGTTTGCGAAGCTGATGATTCGTTGGAGGTGTATAGGCTGGAAGTGCCGTCTGATTCATCGAGGGAATTTGCTTGTTTCATCATCGTTTTTGTTGTTGTCTTCGTTGTTGCTTTGGCTTCAATCAGTTTATCCTTTTGCTGTTCTAGGGGTATCCTAGGATCTATTGGAGGGGAATACACTTCAGGGACTTTGCGAATAGAGTTTCTTCTGCTGATCCGTCGCTCAATTGTTGCGTGTCCATTGCTAATTCGTCTGTCTGTTATCGGTCCTCGGTTGTGAATCCTTTCTCCTGCTGGACCTGTCTGGTGATCTTTGATTCTAATATCGTCGTCAGTGTCTTCGTAATCCTCAACATCCTCGTCTTCTTCCTCGATGACACTGTTTTGGATCCAGTCTCGTATTCTATCCTTTTTCGCAGCTCTGTCCACTGTTGTTTCCAATCCATATTGCGTTAAAGAGAATAGCAACTTATTTTTTTCCGCGGGACTACTGTGGAAGCTGTACATGGAAGGACATAGACCCTCTTCTTCGGCGGGGACTTCGTTGTTCTTTTCTATACCTATTTTAGAAAGCCACCTGTCGTCCATGAAGCGGTAGAGTTCGGCTAATCCGGCAGGGCGCTTCTCAGGTCTGGGTTCTAAATATTTCTTAAACAATCTTTGACCTTTCGAGGATATAAGCTTGAAAAGCTTCGGTTGTCTTCCTATTTTCATTGTGCTCAAATGCCATGAGAGGTACCTAGTATAACGTGGATCATCGCAAGCTGCTTTCTGCCATGGAAGGCATCCTGTTAGGCAGACGAAAATCACAATGCCAAATTGCCAAACGTCGTGTGAGGTAACGGTCCTAAAATTAAACGATTATTTGATTGTATGCTTAGCTGATGTGTTTTCGAATATAACTTACATATAATCTTTGTCTGCTTGAATTTGTAGCACCTCTGGAGGAGCGTACGGCAGCCACTCGTTTCTTCTTGGCACCACGCATCCCACGCGCCTTGTTTCACCGAAATCACACAATTTAATACGCGAGAAATCTGATTTAAAAACTAATATATTGTCCAGTTTAACATCTCGATGCACCAAGTCTCTTGTGTGTAGATGCTCCAAGGCCGCGGCAAGCTGCTTCGCCACCCTCTTCGTGTGCAATTCCCCGATTCCAGTTTCTTGTACGTTTGAAGTCAGGTCGCCTAAAAATAATGAACTTGAGAAACTGCTTTTTTTTGGCAGTGTCCACTTATTACCCAACGGCGCGTATTCTTGTGAGAAAACATAGAATCCAGCCGTTTCGAACGCAACATCGTACGTCGTGATGATGTTCTTGTGCGCCCCCAGATGCAACCCATAATGGAACTCCCTGTAAAAATCCCTCAGTGCTGTGTACGGCTTCGGAAGCGCTTTCAATACCATCTCCGTATCAGTGGCTTTGTGCTCGACTAGCAGGATCTTTCCGAACCAACCTTCGCCCACGATTTGCAGAATATCGAATTCATCGGCCAGGCTTACCTTTAACAGACAACCACAACAATTTCCTTTATAACGTTAAACAAATCCGTATAATTTTGGCAGGACAATAGAGCATTTCGAAAAGGTATTATTTTTAGCTGGCGGCGCGAACGTGGACGCATCGGACGAGAGATGCACTCCAATCATCATTACTTTTTCCAGTTCGAATTCGCGGATCCTGTGGATGCTGCCGCCGATTGCGTGTTTCATCTTGTTACTGCCCATATTTACTGTCCTTTCCGCATTGGCATCCTTTAAAAATAAACTATGTAGAGAGTTGTTCACATCCGAACATCGGTCTGAACTAAGTGAGGTCTGATCAACTGAGGCGTCGCGACGCTTACTGCTGTAAGTAAGGCTGAGACGACGCCGGTCAGCCCGGGCTGAACGCCTCTCCAGAGCGTCGCGATCTTTCATTTCTCACACTGGCATTCAAATCTGGGACGGCACGGACGTATTTATGGACGTCATCGACACTTAAATTCACTTTTGGATTATCTATTACAAAATCCACTTCCTAAATAACACCGCTTACACTAACATTATAATGAATGGACATAAACATTCACCTTCTGCATTCAAAACAACTCGAAATAATTACGCTCACTTAAAACTATTTTATAAACTACTACAAAAATATAATTTATATACAAAATCATATTTAAAGTTCTATTTATATATTTACATAATTACTAAAAAATATATAATTAAAACTTATTGCATATTAATTATGTTTAATAACTGTTATAATAAATATTATTATTGTAATAATTCCAATATTTCACTCTATTTGACAAATTTTATATATTAAAAAGTATTATAAGGCTGCCAATGTTAACAATCACTAAAGTCATTTTTTTTCATTACATTTTTATACAACATGAAATTTTAAACATTTTACACGTAAACACATCAAACGTTCGTAATATTATGTTTATCTTTTCCAATCTCAAATAACGTTACTATAATTTATTACCTAACACAAATATTACATATACATACAAACGTTATTTGGAATACAAATCCTAACTAACTTTTGGGTTTTTGCAAATAGACCAAATAATAATTCGTATCTGGATTATTACGAGATACCGTTTAAAATTTACTTTTATAATTTAACGTGGATAGAAAATAATAATTTAAACTTTATTTTTATTATGTGTAAATTACAGAAACATATATTTTGTGTGACTTTCAAAAGCTTTTACTTTTATAATTCTGAAAAACTTACTTTTAAGTTTTTTTCTATATAACATAACATTCATGATATAGTAGTCACGTATGTTACATTTTTTCGAAACGTATTAATTCTGCAGAAAAGTTATATAGCGGTATTATTGTGAAACGTTTCTTTACGATACAAATGAAAAGTGTTAAGGAAAACAGAAGCTTACTAATAGACGCGCAATATCTACATAGTTTTGATCTGCCCACATATTGCAGCTTATGAAATGAATTTCAAGTAAATTGGTTCATATTTCAGAACCCATATGCCAATACCAATGCGCACATGAGTAGATAAACGAGATTTATTTTTATTAAGATTTTTGCTCCACCGTCTTATTTTTTAAAGAAAATTTATGTTGGAAACAAAGCGTAATTTATGAAGTTTAGACGAGAGTGAACAAAAAATTGTACGCGCTGTATGAATCTTTAGAAATACGTGCTTTAATCGGAAGATCACTACGGTGTGTATTAAAATATGCGAACAATGGCTTCAGGAATTTGGATTGTTGCCAATTCTGGATACAATGCAGATGTTCTTATTGTTATACTTAGCGTATAGCAATTAGGATTTCGAAAATATAATATTATGGTTGGGTAATTTGCGGTCTGCCAAATAAATTGAAAATATTTTGGTTTTATTGTCAATAAAACTATCGCATCGCACACGTTTATGTTTTGCAAATGCTCAACGACGTGTAAATGTAATGCGGAAGTTAAACATCCTTTCCAAGATCTTATTATAAAGCAAATAAAATAGTTGACTTTTAATAGATTCAAATATTTTATGTATTATTGTCAAAAAATACACTTTGGTATCAATACTCGTTTTTTTTAATAGAACTGCACCTAGGATACAATTTTAACCTTTGGCCGGGCTTACTAGAAAAAATTTTGTCTAGACCGCATAGATTTCAAGGTTTCATTGTCAACTTAGGATATTTTGGAACGCGATAGTAGGCGTACTTTTGAAGTTTCGATTGATACAACAATTTATCATGGCCCATATTTGGCGCCAACAATAAAATGTACAAGTTTATCTGCAAAACTTGTTTAGTTCTTCATTTTTGGAGTTAATAAATAGATTTCTTCTATATCTTACGAAATAGCTGTTTCATCATCATGGATTTATTCAAAACGTTTAATTTTTCAAAATATGTGCTACCAAATTTTCTATTGCAACAGAATCAATGTTACCAAATAATACTTCTGATACTCTTTATTGATTGTTGAAGAATGAAATGTTTAGAGAAAGACGTTTTAATCGCAAATATGTTTTACAGAAAAAAAATATGCAAGAAAAACGATTTAAAATATGAAAAGGGTGTTTTGATCTTTCAAGGTTACGTTGCTCGTCTTGAAGAATGAAAGTCATTAACATCCCAAGAATATATTTGTTAAATTCTTAAAATACATGCAGGACGGCAATAAACTCGGTGCATTCTTGGAAGTTACCCCAGACCGAAAAACTGAAGCGCAAACATTTATTTATTTATTCCATGCGCAGTTCACTGTCCTATACGGATGACCATAATAGCCCTAATGCATTTCGTAATGTTGTGCCTCTAATGAAGATTGATTTTATGCTTCGCGCATTCCAAATATTTTCGTTGGGCTACCGTAACTCCGTCCACGATGATGATAATGATGATGATGTCTTGGAACGGTGACGTCACGCGGATTTTCCTATTTATAATGCGACTTCGTGGCGAAAATCTAATGGCGGGACGGAGGAAAAACTTGGTTTTGTTCCAAATACACATAGCGCCCGATTTCAAGTTTCCATTATCCCAAATTGCTTTCTTTAATCTCTGTTTAAAAATAAATTGGCTGACTTTGTGTATTGATTAATAAGGAGCGTTTACCGATTATAACTATACTAAAAAAAATGGAGAATGACGACTTTGCGAGACAGTGTAAATGCATTGCTGTAGATATTACTTAGGTAATATAAGTAGACTTAACTTGAGTTCAGTTGATGCATGAGCAATATGTTTATAATCATTTGTCTTGAGTAAAAATAGAATGAAGTTAAAATGAGTAATTGAGCAGTAAATACACCGAACGAAATTCAGCACTTCAATTTGGCTGTTCAATTTTATATTCAAAATAATACACATTGTTTTATCCTAATTTTAATGTTCTTCATATGTCTTCATAATATGTTAAAACTTATTTGTTTACATCCATTAACTACTTTTACTACTAATATTAGCTTAGAATCTTCGAAAACTTATTTAACAAGTTATATATTTTCTTAATATTACAGTTACATGCATCTTTAATCTAATCATCACAACTAGAGGAAAGTTATGAAGTAACGTTCTGCATTATTTATTTGGACTATTATTAGTATTTCTCAAAGGACAATAAATGATGCGTAAAAGGAGTTGTGTGTTGCGATCTTAGTATTTTGGCAATCCTTTGTGTGTTTCTCTTATTAAGGTTTGATGGTTTTGGCAGTGACCTGAATCATGTAGTATTATTAATTATTTCTTATTTATTCACAAATTTATTTATATAAAATATTTTGAACATAAATCATTGCCCAACTACGATAATATAATGTTGAACTTATATACCCGACTTTATGGTCTTTCTTACAGTTTATGTATCTTCTAAAAAGTAATGAACTTAAGATTTTCTGTTAATATTCTGACTGTCATTTTGTTAGTACTTTTCAGGGGGACCAAGTCATATGAGAAATCTGTTGTATAGCCACTGTGGTGGCGTTCCTTAGTACATGGAGAGCACATAACGCGGCGCTACAAGTAACAGCAAATATAAAAGCGCCAAATAATTTGAAATTTAAAATAATAAAAAAAAAATACTTTATCCTATCAAATAGTTTTTATTGTTTTAACGTTTTCGCACTATTTATATTTGTATCCGCGACTGCTTGACTGCTTTTAACCGAGTTTGTTCTGATCCAAATAAGTTTAATTATTATTATTAAACATTTTAGTATTTCTTAAGACTTGTTTGTATTAGTCTATTAATTAGTGAGTATTGTTAAATTAGTAGGATGGCGATAAAATCCTTGTTAGATTTACTTTTAGCTCTTTATACCCAAGGTTGTTTTGTAAGTGCCATTGGATATATTTAATTTATTTTAGCTTTCCAGTCTGATTGAAGGAACATTTGCGAGGACTATAAGGTGGGATAATTTTCACTTATTTGTTTTAGGCTATTTAGAATTTCATTTAGGATTTAAATAAACTGAACTACAAGTAAACTCCATTAAGTGTATATTTAAAATGTATTGGACAACAGTAAACAAATATAATTATTTCGAAAGGAGATACACTTGTCCAGTTCCGGGATGTATATCCAAAAGAACAGATATTGTACTGAAAATAGTACACCTCTCCAATATGCTTCAGATCACTTTCCGTTAGCCATTACAGGGGTTGAATTGAGTAGGGCCTATTCCAACAAAATATCCTTTTTTGTTCCTGACTTTGTTGGTACTTTTACATGCTGGATTGAGTATGTTCGATACCCACTTACCCAAGTACTTGTTGATTCATATTTGATTAATTCTCTAATTTATTCTGCAAAATGGAGAAATTAATTAGTAGAGACATATGAAATATCTAAACATTACCTAATCAGGAAATAACGAATGTAAGGATAATAATATATTAGTAATTTTTATTTATTTCAATACATTATTTTTAGATTTAGTGAGTAGTAGTAAAAAAAATTAACTAATATATGTGGTGTCGAACTTGTAATAATATAAATGAACATTTAGTTGGCTAAATTTACAGAGAAGTCTGTAATTATTTTACATAAATAATTACAGACTTCTCTGTTACTTCAATTACATATTGTATAATTTGCAATAAATAGTAATATTAGATAATATAAAAGTAAATTATATATGTAAAATATCACCTTTAAATTTAATAAATGTCGAGAATATGGATGGCACAACCATACGCAACGAAGCTCACACTTTAGACGGTAAATATTTAGGTTTTGTTTTGGTATATTGCTTTCCATTGCTTTCGTTTGAATTAAGGTTGCATAGAGACCACTGAAGATGGCGCCACTCTATTTTCAAATTTGCGAGGGCACGCCAAAACGCCACGATAAAACCAGGGATGGTGGTTTCTACACCTGGGTATAAAGCGCATTGATGGTAGGTAGGTGGAAGGTATTTATATGTTGGTCTACGCAGACGATATTGTCTTTTATGGGACAGGACCGAATATATATAATGATACCACAAAGATAGATAGATGCCTAAGGAACCTAAATAGCTATCTGAAGATGTAAAATCTAACAATCTCTCAAGAAAAACAAAGGAAGTTCTATTTTCCAGAAGAACACCGAGTTTCATGCCGCCAATCAATTTGGAGGGACAACAGGTGGAATGGGTGAAAGAAATTAGATTCCTGGGAGTTTGGCTTGATAGTAAACTATCATGGAATAGACAACTAGCCCAAACCCTTAAATCAACGGAAAAAGGAATCAACATGCTTAGAGCGATTTCGAGCATAGATTGGGGATCAGACCCGGCAACTGTTTTAATATTTTATAAATCGTTTATTCGTCCCAGATTGGAGTACGCTGGTTGTATTTTCTCGTTCTGTGCAAAGTATAAAATTTTAGCCCTTGATAGAATACAAAACAAGGCAATTAGGATTGCTCTTGGAATGATACGCACAAGACCCATCAACTCTCTACATATGGAGGCCGGAGTGGTCCTGCTGAGCATTAGACGTGAAAGCATTACCAAAAAATATATTTGTAGAATTTTGGCTCAAGATAACACGCCTGTGATAAAGGCGATACGGCGAGCGGCATTTTTATTTGGTGCTAAGCCTTTTTGCCAAGTAAAGGTATGCCCTTACTGATCGAAGCATACAACGTAATGAGCCGATGGGAATATCTAATATGCAATTCGTCGATTCAAGACTATTTTAATTTGTCTCTGAATATTCGTTTTAAAAAATGGAACAGGGTTGATTTTATGAATAGATGTAATGATAGTGTTCCAATGCAACAAATCACCCAGAGTTTCCTTTTATTTTTAAACACACAATGGAAAGACCATGTTCATATTTACACAGATGGTTCTGTTAAACAGGATCCAAGGTCATCTGCCTATGGGTTATATGTAGATCAGAGGGACATATCTGAGTGTGGGTATATTTTACCATTATTTTCACCAAAGGCTGTGATATTTTCGGATTCAAAAAGTGCGATGGATGCAATTGAATCCACACTGTATTCAGCGAAGGATAACTTTATTATATTTAAAATTAAGGCTCTACTGGGCATGTTGAAAAGGTCAGGCACGAAGACTTCGTTCTGCTGGATACCGGGTCACGCGGGTATTCCTGGAAATGAAAGGGCAGATGGTCTGGCCAGTGAGGGACATATGGGAAGAAGAATGATGCAGTCTATTGCATATACCGATTTGTATCCAATTGTTATCAAGGACGAATGCGAAAAATGGCAATACATATACAGTAACGCATCAACTAACAAAGTGAGAAGATACTTCGAATGGAATGCCACAGTGCGATCTAAACCATGATTCGTGAGAATGGGCTTCACTAAGAAACAAGAAGTATCGGCGTTGAGTAGATTGCGATCTGCACATGACAGATCGGCTGCTCATGATGTGAGTTGTTTATTTGAATTTTTATATATTTAATTATTTTTATCGGTTTGTTGGATATTTTGTATATCTTAACTTTTTGTGACATATTTATTTATTGCTGGTACCTTTATAACAATTCACATAATATTTGACCTACCTATCCGAGACCTTCCACATTGTGAAAAGAATCGCCGGGTCCCGGTTTGTGAAGAATTAATATATGTTTTGTTTTTAATGTTTGATCTTATTTAATATGGCATTGATTGGCTACATGCACCCCGTTGTGCGAACTAAGTTGCATACTTCCACTTCTTCGGAGTGGAAGAAACAGAAACGCCACTGGTCCGCCACGTCTTTGGTCCGCAGGGCTCATTCTAGAGGGAGGTATCCTGCGGGAAAAATAAAAAAATTGGAATATGGAGCAAAATTTATATTTGGAAATTAATGTAAATGACCCCTGACGAGCATATTCGCAGATTCTACCGCACCCATTAAAGATAAATTCATTGTACGTAGTGCTTTTCATTGACGATACTTTTGTTTTTCGTAAGTATTTGAACATCTAACCAATTAGAACTCAATAAAACATTGTTTTTTTTTGATTGGACGCTCTCTTTTTACATATAGAATCGAGTTCAGTTAATGTGTCGGAGAGGTTTCGTCAAATTAAAATGAGCGCATTCCTAGTGACCGTAGTAGTCATTGCCGTGATCTATTGCATCATATCATGGTACAGTATAATTATATGCACTTAGTGCAATAGAAATTACACTTACATAAATTACTAACTTAAAGGGTGTTACCAAAAATTATCACCTGGACGTTGGAGGGGAAGTACAACGTGAATCTTCAGATCGGCCACATCGGCCTTCCCTATTTCAAACTTTGCGACGTGAATCTCTGCAAGAACGGATTCACTGGATTCACCATTGTAAGTAGGCTTACCCAGTGTTGTCAATAGTTACTGCATTTGTTTATTTACTTGTTCTGTAGCACATAGAGGAGATCAGCATCAACAGCAGCTTCTTCAACTCAGAAGTGACGAAGCTTGTAACACTTGTTGTCAAGAATGTTCATATCAATAAGGATGTGGGAACTCAACAGCAGGAGCAGGTTGTTCCAGTGGCACAGAATAGGGGCAATCCGATGGATTTTAGGAACAAGAAAATTCCGCGATTCATCACAACCTTTGCTCAGGTAAATTCTCATTTTCATTCTTTTCCTCATGTCTAAGTAAAAATATGTATTTTGCAGTTTATGGCAATTCATGTGTACAACATATCTGCAAATCTGCTTCATTCTGAGAGCCCTGGATGGTTGCTGCATGCAACTGTCAGTGAATTGCATCTGGATGGGAGCATTGTGCAGAATTCCAGGACGTTATTGGTGAACGTCAATATGTCTGAGGCTTCTGCCAGAGTGTTGAGGCACTCTGACAACAAGAAGAGTAACTATGAGACTTGTCTTGGTGAGCTGAGCTTTGCCATCAGTTTGGAGGCGACGCTCGACGCGCAAGGACCTCTTTCGTTTGAAGTAATCCTTGAAAAATGTTTAATTTGCATGGTAGCATCATGAAGAATAATCTCCTCCTTTATTTACAGAAATTAAGTATCATCATGTCTCAAACGAGCGCCATGATCAGCGATGATTTCTATACGCTCTTCCAGAAGAAGCAGAGCAAAGAGTGCAGTCCTCGCGTTACCCACGTTTCCGACTGCAACGATAACGATTTGATGCTAAGGCTGGCCCCTGTCGTCCCGAAAGTAACAACACACACGTTATTTATTTTTTTCTGGGCCAACAATGATTGTTTTTAGAGTTTTCTAATCAAGATCGAAGAAACGAAGCTGCGGGGAATGTGCGAGAACAGTCGCACGGAATTTCAATCGTCTCTCAAGAGCTTACAGATCAACTTCAGGTTCAACAGCGTATCCCAAGTGGGCGATCTCCATCTGCCCAATCTGTTCTTTTCCTTCAAGCTGGACACGCTGCATCTGCACAACAATCGCAAGCAGCTGCTTTACATGTCACAGTTCAAATTGGACGCTAAGGTTTGTCATAAGTAATTGCAAGTATAAAAGTATACATACTGATATTTAATTGGTTTTGCCAGTTCGACTCGAACGTGGTCGATCTGTATATCTGCATGAACACGCTCCGCCTGACGTACGATCATAAGAGCATCTATAAGTGGATTTCCATGTATTTCCTGCAGAACAAAGGGACGTCGATGGTCGCGGAAGTCTCGGAGGAACAGATTATGGTGGCTGCTGCCGCTGGAGGACGGTCCGTGCTGGAACGACTGGCCTCCATATACGCAGTGAATGGATGCGCAGAATTCATTGGAATTTCTTTTACCATCAAACTCAACAGCGGATGCAACTCCGTGGTGGGCTTCAATCTAGTAAAGTTGATTTTGAATCAGTTCAAGGATAAGCGCGGTAATTCCCAATTACTAATATATTTATCCCCTATTCATCAATTCAATATGTGTTTGCAGCTAGTTCATACAGCAAGTACTTGCCTAGGTTGCTGCTAGGCAATAGGCATTGGCAAATGGAGGTGCTCATAGAGTGTTTGTGGTGGAGCTTCAACGTCGATTGGACGTGGGGTTTCATCAAGTCGCACATTTGTGGCACACCTCTCTACCTCGACAAGGCACTAATCAAATTTGGAACTCACGACAAGAACGAAACTAAGATTGAGAGTCTGTTGGAGTGGTCCAAATATCTAGTTTCCTACGCGATACAGTGAGTTTACGGAAATTTTCGTTAGAATTGTGCAATTGCAAAAGTGACACTTTCAAACATCTTTTCTAGATGTCTGCAACAGGATCGAATCAATCCGTTGTTAAACGTGTTGAGCGTCCTGAAAATAAATACGTTCAACAATTGCATCCGATGCGATGAAATACCCACCTGCAAGGTGTTTGTTAAGTCGGCAATCATCGAAGATGATATCGCTATCAGTTTGCAGCTGCTGGAACGGATCGTGGTTAACTGGTCAACTCCGATCCCTCTGAAACTGCTCTCTCTGTTTAGAGACATAAAGGATTTCTCACTCGTCCTCGTCGAGAGTTTCGGCTCAAGGATCGCAACCACCCAACAACAACAACACGAGATGCCCTCAAAAGAGAAGAGGACATTCAGCGTGAACATCTGCGGACTTCTTTCATTTCACATACACATTTCCCAGAGGCATAACGCTAAAATTGAATTACGTAAGGAATTAATGAAATTTGATTTAACAACTATTAATTATTATTATTATTTAGAAAATGTGTTAAAGGCCCTAATGGAAATGGCTTTAACGAACACGAGTACGGTTATTTCGATCGCCGATGTCGAAGTCTTTAAACTGCAGGGCATACAAGTGCGGCCGGTGGCAATCACAAGCCCGGGAATCGCAATCCCGGGAATCGCAATCCCGACAATCAAAATTCCGACAATCGAAATCCCGGGAATCGCAATCCCGACAATCAAAATCCCGGGAATCGAAATCCCGGGAATCGAAGCCCGACAATCAAATCCCGGAATCGAAATCCCGGGAATCGTAAGCCCGACAATCGAAATCCCGGGAATCGTAAGCCCGACAATCAAAATCCCGGGAATCGAAATCCCGGGAATCGCATGCCCGACAATCGAAATCCCGGGAATCGCAAGTCCGACAATCGAAATCCCGGTAATCGAAATCCCGGGAATCGAAATTCTGGGAATCGCAAGCCCGACAATCAAAATCCCGGCAATCGGATGGTGGCTACGTTAAATATGATTTGTAATATTTAAGAGAGAAGTGGTAGACCTAACAAATATACATATTAGTTATACAATAGATGACAATAAATTGGTCGGCCACGACACCTCCCGCGTTGAAGTAGAGAAAACTGCGAAGAATAAGCATTTTTCTTGTCTAAAAACATAAAATAACAATTATTTTTGTATAACAAAATAAATAGTTTGCAGTTTCTTCATCTAAAATTCACAACATAAAAATATGGTTTAAGTATCTGTAGTTCTTCTTTGCTGACACAACAAAATATAATAATATTATAATGTAATAAAATAAAATACACAAATGTGAAATCTCAATTTATAATTACAATAGAAGTGTTTATTGGCGTCAAAAGTAATGAAATGTTCAGTTTTCTATTAAAATTAATTTTTCAAATATTTTACATTATTTTTCATTATCAATAAAAGGTTGATAATGTTCCTTTTCAAAGTTAATATGACCTATCTTTTTCACCTATCCTCATTGAAAATCTATAATTTATTATTTTGTGTATGTACACACACTTTCATTTTAAATTCTAAAGCAAAAATGTATATAATATCGTCATCTCCCCATTCATTATCAGTTTCTAAAATACGTTTAGCATCGTGTTGTGTCCAACCACTAAAGTTTGGGTAAGATTGAGGACTATTATAGATCATTAACAGAATCAATATGCAGAGTAGGCAGATCCCACGGAAGACAGTGACCGTTTGCGTCGTTTCTTCGTATTTTCAACTGATAACAAAACTGCAGTAACCTGAAGCTGAACCTCAATCTCCCACCCCGTCCGTATTAATAAGAATTAACTTTGTCAGTACAATAAATATTTAAACTTAGTCTTAGTCAATCTCTTAAAGTATCTACATTGTCTTGGAAGGAACCCCAATAGTACCAATTATTATAATAAACTTGTTTAAAACCAATTGAATTATTTCATTCCTACAAGTTAGACTCCACAACTACAACACTAGACAATATTCCACAGTGTCCAGAATTCCATCCCTGGGACACAACAATCGTTTTGTCATGAACATTCATTTAAATTCGATGAACATAATAATTTGTTTTTAAATGTTCTTAAATTTCCTTTAAAATTGCAAATTTTCATTAATGAATAAAATAAACAATTTCCATCTTTAGCTACATTTTTTAATTTTAATATTTTCTTATTTTGATTTTTGATTTATTTGCATTTTGGAGATTTTTCCTTTAACTAAATCTTTTTCTTTCTTTTCACTAAATAGAAAAATTGATTTGCAATCTATATTACGTACTTCTTTATCTTTGCCCAATACATTTTTATAATTTGATATGAAATAACAACTTTTCTTTTTGTGATTATTGTGATTAGTTTTACCACAAATAAAACATTTTACGTTTTTTATTTTCCTTTCAATGTTTATACAGTTTGTTTGGAATTGATTTGGATTTTCCTTAATTAATTTTTCCTCATTGATGTTCTGTTGATTATAAATATAATCATAATTATTGTAACTTCGATTAAAAATATTTTCAACAGTTCTGGATTCTAAATAAAATTGATCTAGGCGAATTTCTTTTTTATTTGATTTTCTTTATTGAGTCTGGAATGATTACGTACAAGTATCCGTTTGTATATTTGATGGACACGTTACATATCATTTGTAATAATTATACATATTAGTTATACAATAGAGGATAATAAAATGGTCGGCCACGAACATTTTTAAATTATTCTACTATATTTTAATAGGTACAATGGATACTGAAAAAAATATTTTTAAGACCTAGGTCGATGGCTCTTTTGCCCGATTACTAATTGTTGTTATTTATTCATAATAACAATAAATAATATTAATTATGATTGTATTCTTTTTTCGTTGACTTATTCATTATAAAACTTAAGAAATATTCTATAATAAAATCAGTTTATGTTATTAACAATACATAACAACAATTAATAATCTTATTAAGTTTTAGATTATTCTTCTATTTTTAATATACATTTTATGTATTTCCGAAGTCCCTTGGTCTATGCGTTTTATAGTATAACCAAAAACAAAGAAACACATGCAAAGAAACCTCCACCAAGCGTAAACAATCCTATTGATACTGATTATTCATAATCATAAACAAAGCCTTACTCCCTAGAAATAAAAAAATTCGAGCGAAGAATTTTTATAAATATCTTTATTATTTAGTAATATATAAATGAACATTTAGTTGACTAAATTTACAGAGAAGCTTGTAATTTTTTATGTAATTGTATAATTTTTATTAAATAGTAATATTAGATAATATAAAAGTAAATTATATATGTAAAATATCACCTTCAAATTCAATAAATGTCGAGAAGCGGTGAATATTTAGGTTATGTTTGGTTGTATGATTTTGTTTGAATTAAGGTTCCATAGAGACTACTGAAGATGGCGCCACTCGATTTTCAAATTTGCAAGGCCACGCCACCACACAGCGTCTTTGGTCCCCAGGTACTTTTCAATAATCTTTAAAAAAAAATAAATACGTAGTAATATGTAAATACATATACAATAAAGTATATACACCTATCACTCGCTTTACACGGTACTCGATTTACACGTTTTTCTACCGTGTAAAACGAGGGATAGATGTACTTTAGTATTTCAAGTTAATTTTTTATAAAATTGAAAATAAATAAACTTTATACTATTTGTAATATTTTATTATATAAGTACAATAAGATAAACTGTAATTTAATTGTAAATTTAGAAAGAATTGGTCTTAAATTTTGAATTTGAATGTTTGAACTAAATTGGCTGTACTGATTGTGGTTTAGTGGAATGAAGAGTATAATATTTATTATAGGCAACCCAAATAACGAAAACATTAACGTAACCTAACTTTGGTGTACACATGTTATTATTATAGAATTAGCATCAAGATGGGGAAGTTGAATGTGACTCTATTGAGATATTTAACAGCGGAAGATTTCCGTGTGTTAACTGCTGTAAGTACTTTTTGTTTGTTTATAATTGCTATTGTTAAATTAATGTATTTTAGTTGGAGATGGGAATGAAGAACCATGAGCTAGTTCCGGCTGCTCTAGTTGCTTCAATTGCTAATCTTCAGCATGGAGGTGTACACAAGCTGCTGAAGGATTTGTGTAAACACAGATTGCTCAGTTATGAGAGAGGGAAAAAGTGTAGGTAAAATGCATTGTTAATGCAAAACACAATATTTACTTGATTTATTTTAGATGATGGTTATCGCCTTACAAATTTAGGATATGATTTTCTCGCATTAAAAACATTGACAAAAAGAGATGTGGTTGCATCTTTTGGAAATCAAATTGGTGTTGGCAAAGAGAGTAACATCTATGTTGTTGCAAATCAAGATAATGAGCCGCTTTGCTTGAAATTGCACAGATTGGGCAGGACATGCTTCAGAAATATTAAAGATAAAAGAGATTATCACAAACATCGTAAAAACGTCGGATGGCTATATTTGTCGAGGATATCTGCGACGAAAGAATTTGCATATATGAAAGCTTTACATGAAAGGGGTTTTCCTGTTCCAAAGCCCATTGATTTCAATAGGCATTGTGTTGTTATGGACTTGGTGATTGGCAAACCTTTGTAAGTTCATGAGGTGTTAAATAATTCTTTTGAAATTAATTTGGTTCTTTTCATTTTAGGATAAACGTCATGGAAGTGAGTGACGTTGAAGGCTTGTACGATGAGTTGATGAATTTGATCGTGAGATTTGCAGATTCCGGCGTAATTCACGGCGATTTTAACGAATTTAATATTATGATCAACGAGGATGAACGACCGATTATTATTGATTTCCCGCAGATGGTTTCAACTGGTCACATAAATGCTGAAGTATACTTCGACAGAGATGTTACTTGCGTTAGGGAATTCTTTAAAAAGAGGTTCGCTTATGAGAGCGAATTATACCCGAAGTTTTCCGATGTCGAAAGAAACGATAATTTGGATGCTGAAATTCATTGCTCAGGATTCACTAAGAAAATGGCTAGAGATATCAATGTTGAATTAGGAATTGATAGTGACGATGATGATGAAGAAGATGACGAGGTTGAGGATAATGTCAGCGACGATGAAGATATTGAAAATAATGTCAGCGAGGATGAAGAAGTTAAAGATGAGACAGAAGAAATTCAAAAAGTTAAAGATGATATAGAAGAGATTACAAAGGCAACAGAGAAAGTTGTTGTGACCAAAGAAGAGTTTTGCACTGTTGATAGTATTTTTGATAAGTTGAAGGGCGATAATAAGCAACATTTGCAGGTAGTGGATGATAATGAATCTGTAAATTGTTCTGAGGGTTCAGATGAGTTGTTTGAAAGTAGGAGTGTTAGATCTTGTGCAACTACTATTCATCCAGATGAAATTAAGAAGAGGATCAAGAAGCAGATTTATTCTAAAGAGAAGAGAATACAAAGGAAGAAATGTGTGGCCAAGGGAGAAGCTAGTGCTACAACTAGGGTTAGGAGAGAGAACGTTGATACAATTAAACAGAGCGATGGAATTTGGGGTTAAATATGTATATTATTTATATTAAACATTTAATTTTTAATAAAATATAAAAATAAGTTTGATTTTCAAATGTAACTATTTAAATCATATTTTACGTTAATCTCTTTGCGGAAACTGAGTGATGTTAGGAGTCATGATTGTATAAATCTTATACAAATTAATAATCTTGTTAGTGTTATGTAGAGTACAATACGGATAGATTAATAAAAAGATTGAAAGTGAAAGTTTAGTGTGATTCATGCATCTATAAAATGTATGAACAATAAAGTATGAAAGTGAGTGAAATATTAATGTGGAGATGTAGTGGAGATTAATTATAAATTGGTCAAATGTTAGATGTGTGTTTATGTAGATATAATATGTAATGTATGGTTTGAGATTAATCAATTGAACGCACGGGGTGGGTGGGTTATCTTTGTGCGGTTTGTAGTTTTAGAGCGGAGGCCCAATTTATATATGTGATGTTGGCAGATGCATATGTCAATGCCATGGAGTTAGTTAATTAACAAATTGATTACTCCACATATTAACAACCAACTGCACAACCTCAACTTCCTGTTGTAATGTATGATAGCTGATTACATAGCAACTTGTCTCATCTCCCGGCAATAATTAATTAAACCCAGACTGAGCAATATATTTTACGCCGCCGCAGTTTCGTCGATATTAAAAGCAGAGAGAGAGAGAGCGATCAACCGTTCCTGTTGACAATAATTAAACTACATGCGCCTCGAGTTTTTGGGTAAATCGTAATGATGTCGGGTAATTTGTTTTGCAATGGATGATTTAGAAGAAAAACGCAATGCAAACCAATGGTCGTAAATCTGCGGCAAAGATAATTTTCAGCCGTATACATAGGTATTTTTGTTGTGTTGTTGCTTTTCTTGTCTTCTTTGTTTGCTCTTGTGGTGGTGGCTGGGCGTGAAACGCGAAAAGATATAAAAGTCAGGAGTGAAACAATGGGTCTGGCCTGGTCTGGTCTGGAACGGCGGGGTGGAATGGAGGTGAGTCTCTGGAGACCTTCGAAGATGAGCAAGGATGTCATTGCCATGGTAACACCCCGCGCTGCATGCCGTTGCAGATTTAAATGCCCCATAAAGAGTAAAACCCGGAGACTAACCGATTACACACTATGGGACAGGCTCATGAAATATATAGGTGTGCTGCTCTGCTCTTCGTTCCTGCTTTCTACCTTTCGCTCTGTCCGACCCCCACGGGTACAGACCCTCCAAAATATATATAATACTATCTCTCAAACTGTATCCACCTTAACGCCGAAAGATCAATATCTTTAACACTTCAACAATTTTATTACCTAACCGTGCAGTTTCCGCATCGCGCTATGGTCTACTCTTAACTAGAAAATCTTTACTGTCAGAAGCATGCCGTAGAGGATTTAGCAATTTGAATAAGAATATATACATTAAATTAAAAATCATATTTGAATAACTTTTCTTCGTAAAAATTTTACTATTATTGCTTTAAAAAAAATCTATACACTTAGAAATAATTTTCTTTTTAAAATTACTGTTTTCAGCCATTTGTGAATGAAAATTTATTATTTTATTACAATAAAAGAAATATATATACACATTCAGATATAATCATCAGAAATACAAAAATCTTAAAGAAAAATGGAATAATATTTTTCTACTGTTTTAAGTTCTGTTTCAAGACTTCTTATTTGTTTCTTAACTTTCTGTAGTAGTCAAACATTAAAAACATAAAAATAAACTTCTAATAATAGTAATATTTATTGCAACAACAAATGACCATGCAATAACAAATATAAAATAAAATAAAACTATTCCATTTTTTTTATTATCAACTATGAATTACTTTATTATACTTTAAAATTATTCAAAGAATTAAGAATACATTCAACAAAAATCAGGATTTTTTTTTTATTTAATTTTATATTCATTTCAGAAAGTTTGAAACAATCACGCTTATTAATACAAATTCATATTATTCATCAAATCAAATTTTGTTACTCTTTTTGATACGAACGCCTCTGGTCGTAGCAGTTTGCAATTTGAATCGTATATAATTTACGTTTTATCGAATTTCAACTTTCGACGGGTTCAATTTAATTATAATATGATAATATGAAATTTAATTGCATGCGAGACTGTGATTTGTGTTTAATTTTAATTAAAGCTGACCCCCAGCAAACGACAAACAAATGTTTCAAAATGAAAATATAATTGTTTCATTATCGTGTACGTTTCGGACAAATAGAACAAAAAATAAACATCTCATTTTGGCTTCGATATATAATTTCTGTTTCATCGGGCTGTAAAATGTATAATAATCAATGATGTTTGAAACTGAATTAGTTATTAGGAATAAATTTAGTAATTACAATATTCAAATACTCTCTGCAATTATTATACTTTTAATTATTGATCAACGATGTTAAATTAACAATTTTAGAAGTAATTAATTATGTTTTGTTCTAATAGAACAAAACATAATTAAGAATAAATGTCATGGATTTTTATATTAAAATTAAAACAATATCATTTTAAATTATAAAATATCCATACTATTATATATGATGTAGAGTAAATAAAGTTATTAGTTTTGGTTGCATTGTAATGAAGGTATGATATAAATCTTGATCGTGAGAGAAGCTGTGTTTGTTTATGACATCAGTTTTTTTTAGTTTTGAAAATGATGATGCAGAAGAAAAAGTGTAACAAACATATCGGGAAGCTGATTAAAATTCCTGATCGGCGTTGTGTGCGATGCAGCAATACTTTCGTAAAGTCCTTCCGCACAATGGAACGGCGCGCTCTTTTGTGGTCAGAATTACACGCACTTAAATTACTTTTTATTGTGCATATTGTAATGTAAACAATGTAATGCGAGGGCCCAGCAATTGGTTCCGGGTTTTAGATGTTTGCTCGGTGCGATGGGTTTTTGTTGTTTGCCGTTGGTTAAATGTTCCCGATGCGTATCAGAATGAATGCATTTACCTTAGCCGATTGAGGCGCTAATAGACAATTATCGAAGCCATGCGTGAAATAGCTTGATTGACAATATCAATCATGAATCGCCGGACTCTCTCATATATTAATTTGGCCCATTGATTGACGTGAAACGTTTGCATCACAATGCCGATACATTGCCGATCGCCACGCTGAAAGTAGTCTTCAGGTTCCTTTCAGTCGACAAAATGGTGATTAATTCAATCCCCCCGAAGCTTTGTGCGCGGCCGGATCCTCTCTTCTATATGCACGAGGCCTCTCCGCTAATTTCAAGCGAGCTTCGAATATGCGAAAAACTGAAAAACCCATACAAAAAGCTGTAGTTTCATCCAGACACAATATCGCATCGCATATACGGATGCATAGAGACAAGTAATTAAAATTTAATTAATAACCGAATGCAATGGGAATATGATTAATTACATATTACACAGAGCCGCCGTTTGTTCGCTGAACAATGATACACTTTTGTAGGTAATAATTATTAACACATGTTTCCGTAACGAGCCTTTAAAACTGTTCGCTATGCTTCGTGCATTTAATGCATATGTTCTCTACTAATTAATGTGCACTTAAAACAAGAAAAAGGTTAACTGGATGCAGTATGAAAAATATAATTGAATACTAGTAAAGTATACAAATAATTACATAATAATAATAATAAAAAGTATTCGATACTATATCTAGTAAGGTGTCCAAGACGAGGAGTTGACTTGGTTTGTGATATAATTTTGTGACAGGTCACAACAGACACGATTATGATGAATAACGAGCAACGAAGCAACAGCAGAATATCGAGTACCACAGGGAACCGTGCTAGGATCATCGCTGTATAACATACACAACAATGACATGGATGAGTTGGAATTGGATGGTACTTTATACATGTATGCAGACGACGCATGTATTATTTATGGTGGATGTGACCCGACGCAACTAGATGAAAGCATAAACTAATGGAATAAAAAATGTATTAATAAATATATAAGAAGATGTATTTCTTTGAAATTGCGTAAAAATATAACTAGCAAATATACATTTTGTTATAAATTTATAAAAAAAGAATTGTCGAAGTATGTTGTGAGATGTACGGTGCCCATAGAAACGTGATCAATATTATCTGATTAGGCGATATATTTTTGTGCTGCGAAGATGAAGTTTGTATTCGTGTTTGCGCTTTTCGCGTTGGCTTCGTACTCTCAAGCTTATTATGAGGGCTCGTTGTACGTTGTTAAATTGAAGCCGCAGGATTTGATAGATCTCAAGAGCGATGATAAAGCCGATTCGATGTGGCTGATTCAGTACTACAACGGCTCAGATGCCTTCGCGATGAGGAATGGAAGTGTCGTATTTGAAAACGTCGCGAAATGCCTATCCGGTTACGTTCATAGCGGAGCAATCGATATCGGCACCACTGAATTACTCAAGTACATTAATCAGCTGAAAAGACTACCATCTTACCAGATGCTCGGTTATTACAAATACATTCCCAACTATTTGGGCGATATCGAAGAGGAAGAGGAGCTGACTGAATCTACGGTGAAGCAATTCCTGTACTTCTTCGACGAGAGAAGAATGTCCAGATTCGTAGAGACCAAATGGAATTACGAGCTGGGACGTACTGATATGGACGATATTCTGAACGAGTCGTTGAAGTCGTGGCTCGTGATCTACTACCATCCGCAGTGCGAGAAGTGCAAGAGTTTGGCTAAGATCTGGCAGAAGCTTGTCTACGAATTCAAAGAGAAGATTTCGTTCGGTTCGGTGGATAACTTGGAGTTTACAGTACTGAGCAACGTGGAGGATTATCCGGTGATCAAGTTCTCTCCGATGGGCAAAAAGAAGAACAAGGAGGAAACGTACGAGGGCGATTTGACATACGAAGCTTTAAGACAGTACGTTCTTGGAAAAATTAAGACGCCGAAGGTGAAGCAGATAACTGGGGTGAATGTAATCGGGCCTTGCTTGAAGCGCAAGCATTGCATCATCACTTTCATTCCTCTGCTGCTGTACTGCGACGCGGATTGCCGCAGTAATGTTCTCGGCGATTTAAATGAGACCAGCAAGAAGTACAATACACGTTCGTGGATTTGGCTCTGGTCCGAGTATCAGGATCAGGGAGATCTCGAGCAAGTATTCTCTATACAAGAATCGCAGCATCCCATCGTTTTGGTCCTAAACGTTCATGGAAGCTCCTATTTTAAAGTGGAGTATCCTGATGGTTTGAATGCGGAGGAATTAGAAGATGTTGCAGGCAGGATCGACAGAAACATTGGATTTGATAATATTTTGCACATTAATTACAAGCCGGATATTAAAACTGCTCCTATCTGGCGTCACTCCAAAGAAGAGTTATAATTTTTTATTTGATGTTGTTATGTTTCTTTTTTTGTCAATATTCTTACTTTTTGCGAAAATAAAGCGTTATTGATTTAATTTATTATGCAGTGTAGGAAGAGAGACTTTTTACTTCTGCTTTTGTGGTTGCGTTAACTTTCTGGTGGACGCATTAAAAGTTTTCCTTCCTTTTTGTGTGTAAGCGCGAACTTTTTATTTCAGAGAAAACTAAATTCGTCAAAGATTACTTACACAAATCAGAACTTGGCATTTTCATCTTAAGGATATACATTATATAATTCTGTTAAAAAGGAATTTTCACATAATCTCAACTAATATTAAATAAAAGTTTATATGAATAATATCATTTAAAAATAACTAAATTAAAATTCACATACTAAGTAATACTTAAAAATCATTTATTTTTTTGTTAGAAAGAATAATAAAATTAAATGCTTTTTAATTTAACCTAATCTAACCTAACATAAATAGTAAACAATTGCTGTGCAAAAAAAGAAAACAACAGTTTTTGTTTATTTTCTTTTTAAATGATAAATATTTCATGAAACTACGTTTATTGGTTCAAATTTAATAAAAAATGTAGCAATATGTTAACAGAAAATACAAATTGCTGAAAAAAGACGTTAATACTATGGAATTCTGTGCAAGAATGCAATTGAAAGGAACAATAGTTATGCAATCACAGAACCGATTCGGTTTAACTGCCTTTTTTACTGGCTGCTTAATGGAGTTTCATTGAAAATGACATTAGCGGTGTGTTCTTTCCTGTATTGGGAAAACTGCGCGCGAGAATGATTTTTTTATTGCGGCACGTTTCGCACATTTGCATGAAAATTCGATTTGTATGCATTTCGAGCATCGAATTGAACTTTGCACACATGTGAAAGTTTTAAGTGCGAAATCACAGTTTCAGGTCTCCGAGGTGCTTTTCGGCGGAAACATCCGGGGGGACTCATTCATTTGCATGCTTTCATTTCGCACCTTTATGATTCCGGTGTACATGTAAGTGTGTGTGTGTGTGTATGTGTGAAACATTCAAATTCCAGCCCATTTAAATAAATCCGGAAAACAGTGTCGTCGCCAATAACCGGAAATTCGAACTGGCGTAATCGCCGCATAAAAAGAACTTAAGTTTAAGTGCGCTCCTTCGGCTGCGATGGCTCTATTTGTTTTAACATCGAATTCAATTTATTTTATGGCATCTCACATAAGGATTTCTGGTGACTACTCAATTTACATCACCATATATTCAAAATCATCATTTACACTAATGTCATCTTTTATTTTATAAATAAAAAATTACAAAAAAAGTTAAATAAAATTAATGGAAATTATAATACTTTTATGATATAATGACCAGATTAAAGTCAAATATATATTATGTGTAACTATTGTATAAAGTGAGATAACATATATTTATAATATCTAATACAATGGAATCAACAGCATACATGGGCAACAAGTGGCCCGCGGGCCGGTTACAGCCGCCTACTTCTTTTGATCAGACTCAGACTCATCTCAGTAAAGTTAGTCGGGTTTGTGGTGTTGACTAATTCTTTTCATGTTTTGAAATCGCGTTCTACCTAAAATTCATCTGTGAAGTGATATATTTATACACTTGGTTCTGTTTTTATGCGGTAGATACGTTCCACAGGAAAACGCATAAAAATAAATCGCACAAAAAAGAACTAGACACACGTATAAAAATAAATCAATGAGTTACAATATACCGAAAATCGCATAAAAAAGGGTATATTAAATTTCAGAAAAATAATTAGTCTTACTATATTCTTTCTGAAATGTTTATTCATAATTTTATAAAAACGTTAATAATCATAGACAAGTTTATTAAATTTCAGAAAAATATAATCTTAACATATTCCTTCTAAATTTATACGGAAAAAATTTACAAAAAAAAATACAGAATATTTTAATGAAAGTTAAACTTTTAGATAGTTTTGCTATTTTTTTTGTACAATTCCTGATATGCAGAAATGCAATTCTGAAGCTCGCGTTGAAACTTGAATGCTCGTTCGGAATTATCATCTTTTTCGATGAAATGGTTTGCCAATTTGTGTCAAAATGTGTCAAAATGGCCTAAAATAGTTATTTAAAAAAATGCTTCTTGAAATAAAAACCGCATAACTTCAAAACCGCATAAAAAGAGGACCGAGTGTATATTATATTTTGTCACAGAAATAGTAAAGGTATTGTAATATGGTTAACAAAAAAAACAATCCTATAGGATTTACTAAGTTTTATAATAATTCAAATGTATTTATTAATTCAATTGTTTGAATAAATAGAAACACAACAAAATTGTAAACAATGCGTATTATATTCGTTCGCAGAAGTGCGTGACGTAAATCAGTTAAAGTTTTGAAAAGCTGAAGCCGAAATGAAATTAATTTAACGTTTAGTTTAGGAACTCCGCAAATAAGAATGATTAATTACAATTAAATGCGACGTAGTTTTTGGCGTCGACGCGCGTGACATAAATATAAATTGAAATTATCTTCGGTAATGCGGGAACTGCGAGAATAAAATATTTACTTTGTGTTAAGTTTAGTTTGAAATTAGCAAAGTTTTCGGTTTGATGGTAGGGGGCGGAGGGATGAGTAGAGGTGGCAAATAATGGAAACGTAAATTGGAAGTACTTAAGGGAATTAATGGAAATGAAATGAATTAGAGTTTCGCTTATGAAGTATTCACTGTAAGTTTGTTTGTAAGCTCTGAGAAGGGAATGGAAAATTGACACTGATACACATACATATATACACACGCAAGTTATATAATTCATGGTAGATAAAGCGGGATGAAGGAAGGCGAAAACTCGAAATTTATATGCGTCTTAAAATATGCATTGGACGTCCTTCTTAAGTAGAAGGGTTTCAAAATCCTCTTAGAACATGCGTTATGCATCGCACCCGGAGTAATCTTATGGAAATTGTATGTTCTCGGTTAGTTTAGTTACTTTTTACTTTATGTTCTTAAATAAATCATGTGTGAGCATAACTCAACTTTTTTTTCCTGCTTACCATATACAAATTCCGGCATTCGTGAGGCTTTAAACAAAATAGATTTTGAATTCATAGCATTAAATTTTATCGTAAAATTTAATCTAATATGTAAAACAACATTTGTTTATGTGTATATATTTGTTCTATGTAAGTCTAAGCAATTTCTTCTAAAATTTGTATATTCTAGTTTAATAAATTTTAGTTTATTTTTTCTTATATAAATTATGTGTGAGTATATTGACATTATTATAATTTTCTTCCTTTTACACAATTATATAAAAAATGGTTTTATATAACTGTAACCAATTTAAAACTGTTATAACTTTTGAACCGTTGGCACAACGTTGAACGTTTTGTCCAAGCGGAAAAGCAAATGTGGCTATTGTTAGAGCTCTCGAACACCTTAATATGAATAAATATTTCCTGTCTCGAATCATAACATGTTATAACAAAGCTAGTAGTGTTATAAAATGCTATTTTGGTGGTCAGAAAAAAACTACATCTGTGGTAGAAGTGGCTCGGAAACTGAAGGCTCGTGTTGACTGAACATATCGAAATTACTCAAAATCGAACTCAAAGTGAAGCCTTACAAGTTGCAACAAGGACAAGATTTCACGGATGTTAAAAAAACTAGGCTCGATAGAACGAAGGAGATGTTGCGCTTGCACGAACGCAGCCTATTGCCAAATATCGTCTTGTATGATGAGAAAAAAAATCCCTTTACTTAGAACAGAGGTCAATCGGAAATTTAGACATTCAATGGCCACAAGAAGTCAAGTACCACCGTTTGTGGTAGTTTGGGAGGCTTTGTCGGTAATTGTGTGCAGTTTAACTGGGACACCCTGTAAGTCAATGAACAACGTTAAAACTTTTTGTTCATAAATTAAATTTGTTGAGAACATAGTTTTTCTATATAAGGTAGTTATAAAACCTACATGGACCTATAGCAATCAACTATGGTGATCTACCTGTAACACAATTATCAACATGTTCCAAAGATTTCGATAAAAAACTCTCAGAGAAATTACCAATGTTCCTTGGTTTTTCACAAATAATAGCATACATCAATATATTGACTTCAATCAGATTTGATAAAAAAAGAAATATAAAAAACCAGCACTAAATACTAATTTCGGCTGGAGGACCATCCAATTCAACTGGATACAAAACTGACAAATACAGAAAATCAACAATTTATATGAATCAATTGTTAATCAATTACTAATTTTGTTGCTATTTACTTTATGAACTTAATTGAGTAATGTGTATATAATTCATTGTATAAAATGTTCCAGAATCTTCAATATATTGCGATTCTGTATTTCATTAACACAAATATGTTTGTTTAATTATTAAATAAAAATTTAACAATGAGCAAAAGGAAAATATTCATTCAATTTCGCTTTTATGGAAATTTAGTAATTCATGACGGAAAAATATGAATTACTTTAAAAGTATCAACTATTTCTTTGATAATACAAAGAAGTAAAACAATAAATAATCTTGAAAATTTTACTTTGTAAAGCATGGATATATATATATTTTTTAAGTATTCACTAAACTGTGTAAATACCAATACAATTAGACCAGAAAAATTTATTTCAAATATTAAGTACATTGCTGAATAATAAATAAATTTGCTTTGGTTTAAAGGACTAATACATTTTGAAAATTAAAAAATATATAAATTTATTACTTCAGAATTGCAATTTCATTTGCACTTTAGTATCTGCGATATTACTCTTTGTCTATTTAGTTTTGTGTTTTATTTCCATTACAAAATCTCAGTTGAACCTCTAGAGGATGCCAGAATCAATAGAAGCAAAACTCTCTGAGAAATGTTCTCAATCCATTATAGTCATTGTTTTTGGAGATGAGTTGGGAGCAACGCTTTGTTTACTCGCACGTGGAGAATCATTATTTAGATTGCTGGCAATCATCGTATTAAAACGCTTTGCAATTACTTACTGTCGTCGTCCA